CTGACTTTTTATTTCACTTTGGATTGTTTGTTACAAGTATAGAGAAATTCAATGACTGTAGTATTCTTGCATCCTGCAAACATGATAAGATCACTTCTTTGTTTTGGTAGATTTTTTTTAATGCATTCTGTTAAATATTCTAGATAATCAGTCATCTGGAACAACAGCCTTACTTTTTCCTTTCCAATGTTTTGTTTATTGTTCTTGCTATGTTACACTGCCTAAAAACCCTACCATAATGTTAAGCAGAAAAAGGAAAAGCCAATGTCCTTATCTTTTCCTGCTCTTTGGGGAAGCGTTCCCTCTTTCAACATTAAATATAACGTAGGCTGTTTTACCGAAGCCCTTCATTAGGCTGAGGAAGTTCTCTGCTATAATTAGTTTGCCAGGGCTTTTTCTTGCTTTCTTTTTATTTTTTAATCAGGAATAGAACTTGGGTTTTGTCAAATACTTTTCTGGCATCTATTCTGATGATCATTTGATATTTCTTTTTTAATTTGTTAACATGGTGAATTACATTGATTGAGTTTTGTATATTAAACCATTTTTTGCATTACTGGGATGAACTTCACTTAGTCATGCTGCATATTCAGCTACATATTGAGAAGATTGACTCACTAAAGTTTTATTAAGAATTTTTGAATCTATGTTCATGAGGGACATTGGTGTGTAGTTTTCTATCCTTGTAATGTCTCACGTTTTGCTATTTGAAAATGATGACCTCATAAAATGAGTTGCAAAGTAATATCTCCTCTTCAATTTTCTGGAAATTTGTGTAGAATTGTTCTTATTTCTACCCAAAATATGTGGTAGAATTCATTAGTGCAGTCATTTAGCAATGGAGTTCCCTTTGTGAAAAGTGTGTTTAAATTACAAATTTACTTTCTTTACTAGATGTAGGACTACTGGGTTGATCTATTTCTTCCCATAAACTTTGATAGTTTGTATCTTTTAAGGAACTTATCTATTTTATCAAAGTTGTCATGTTTATTAGCTTAACAGTGTAAAAAATGTTACTGTCTAATCCTTTAAAGATCTGTAGATCCATAATGATGTGACTATTACCACTCCCAATGTTGGTAATTTGTGTCTTCTGTTTTTCCTATGAAGTGTGGTTAGATTTATCAGTTTTATAAATCTTCTCAAGGGAACAGCTTTTGGTTTAATTGCTTTTATCTAAACTTTTCCTCTTTTATATTTCATAATTTATGCTTTGATCTCTATTATTTCCTTTCTCTTACAGACTTTGGGTTTACTCTCCTCCCTTTTCTTCCAGTTTCTGAAGGTAGAAGCTGAAGTCATTGAGTTTAGATCTTACATATTTTCTTCTCTTAATAACAGATGTTTAGTGCTACAAGTTCCCCTTAAGTGTTGCTTTAGTGACATCACAGACACTGATATGCTTTGTGTTTATTTTCATTCTGTTCAAAGTATTATTACTCTTTTGACTTCTTTTTGTTCCATGGGCTATTTTGAAGCATATTATGTAGTTTCCCAATATTTACTCTACCTCATGCCCCACAAATCAGTCTGGCTGGAGGGCGCAGGCACCATTGCTGGTCCTAAGTGAGCACTGAACAATGAGACCTCTACGTTTTATGAGGTTTTTTACTTTTCCTACAACTTGGGTCATTTTCTCACACATACATGAGTTCTTCCTGTCTGAAATTTCAACCCCTACCAATTTTTGACATCTACCATTTCATATTCCTCTTCCCTTCCTTAGTTTTTTTCTTTAATACTCATCACTAGTACATTATTATATTTAACTTCTCTTTTTTATTGTCTGTCTCCTTCACTAAAAGTATAAGTTCCACAAAGACACTCATTTTTGTCTCTTGTTCACAACTGTATGCCCTGCACCTACTGAGAGGAAATCAATAACTATCAGTTAGAAATTAACATTTATGTCTTAGGATTTATGTTATTTTGGTTACTTTTGTGTAAGGACATAGAGAACAATATCTGAGCCTAAGTTTTCAGGAGCATTAGAATCTACCTCAACATATTCTCACTGCTTTTGGACATGCATCACCTACCATAAAGGGCTAACGCCTCTAAGGAGAAGATAAAATCACTACATGAGACAGCCTTCTCAGCATTGAGAGGAAGACCCCATTTGCATGTTAGCTTCTCCCCTCTCTCCAGATAGCACTAAAAGCTGTCAGGACTGCCATGTTATGGGGGGATGGACCTTACTGGGAGAGGCAGCGGTACAGCAGTCAGCAGCACAGCCACCAGTCTCAGAATGCTGGGGCTCAATTTTCAACTATTCTACTTACTAGCTCTATAAATATTAGAAGTCACTATTATTTAATGCCAAGAATTCTTACCCAGAGACTTCAAGGGTTTCTTCAACCCTTGGAAACTGTATTCAAATCAATTATGGGTAAGAGACTAATGCATCTTTCTTGGGACGTCTATAGTTTTCATCAGATATTCAAGGTCTGTCAGCACTTACAATACTCTAGTCATCAAACATCAAGTGATACTGTTATAAATAAATAAATCCCTAAAAGTGTATTCCTTTGGATTGGCTTAAACTTCCTTAAGGCCAGTCAGAATACTAATATTTGCAGGCACTTACTATTTCTATGTTTTTTACTTATCCTCAAATCTACATAGATAAGAGCTACATAGATTAAAATAACTATAACTTTACTATTATTATAATAACCTTTTCATAGTTCAGGCTAAGTGATTTGCCTATACTAACATGACAGAGGCAAGAAAACTTCAGACATAAATTTATAAAAGAAACTGTCATTTCTGCTGTCAATAGTATCTATATATCTCTCCTTTGAGATGTGCTTTTTTTAGAGTAAAAGCATCATGCCTTATTCATTTTTGTAGCCTCAGTATTTGGAAGTGTAAAGGACATACTACATGCTTAAAATATGTTTGTTGTATAATAATTAATCTGGATATTAGACACACATCTTCTGGTTATAAATCCCTAATATATTCTCATCTCATTAAGTCATGCATCTTTTCATGAAATCTACCTAAAGGGGGAGTGTCTTCCTTTTGCTAATGTACTGTTCCAGTGTTTTCACTAACTCAATAGCTTCCTCAGCTAGGATATGAACTATTAAATAAACACACATTTATGTCATAGGTAGGAAAGTAAAACATGAATTAAGAAGCAGTCACTTATGAAATAAACTCAACCAACTCATCACAGAAAACCTCCTGTGTTATTATCTAGTGATCTGATCTTCCTATGGCCACTAGTTGCATTCACTCTGTCCACCTGGTATCTGTATCACATAACATATTCTCAAATCTTCCTTTTTGAGACATTAATATCTCTGTTGCATTTCCTGATAATGTTCTCCTGGTTTAGCATATTATTCCACTAAATTCTTTCCTAACACATTCCTCCCTAAGTTCTTCCTAACATACCTTTCAATCAGTTAGATGAACAGTATCCATCTGATCTGGGAGCTATGTGATAAAAGTAAGGGGAATCCATGGGCAGAGAGTCAAGGTTAACAGGTGAGCAGAAAAGAGGAGAATAAGAATTTTAGAAATGAAAGAAAGAAAGGTAGGCAGTAGGGTCACTAGATAATACCAATAATGCTATATTGATTTTTTCTTATGAATTCCCAGCACAGCATCCAAGGAATAGGGGTTAATGAATGTCTAAATATGCTCTTCATTAAATCTAAGGGTAAGAGAAAATTACTTTTAAGCTTTTGAATATGCTATCTTTCTTCCCTTCTCCCCTCCCTTCCCTCCTTCTTTCTTTTTTCTTCTTCTATTTTTTAAACAGTCCACTCTTATATTCTGCACTTTTGACAGCTACACTGAGTGAAAAGTTGGGTCCCCAAGTGTCCCCAAAGATTGTGCAAAAAGATACATCATGTGCTTGATGAAAAGAAGATATTCCTGAGTATGTTACTAAGTCCTGTGGGGCACGTTCCATCCAACTATAAGTACAAACATGGGAAGAATAAAATTCCATTAACTAATGACCTTCTCAGACATCAGACTATAAGGTTTATAGGCAAAAATTTGTATAGCAAGGACAGTCTAGTGCTTCTAAAATAATTCAGATTATCCAAGACTCATTAAGTTCCACATTATATAAATTCAGAGTAATTCTTATTCTCAAATTTTGGCATTTTCTTACACAACATCAAATATACTTATGCTTGTGAAAAACAAAGTTTACTTTCTAAATGAGAAATTAAAAGGCATAACTCTTGAACTTCATTGATAAATATATCTAAACTCTAATAATTTTATTGTGCAAATAATGCTAGCAAAACGATAGTGTTTTGAATCGTTCATGTTAAATTACACGGAAAACAACAACAACAAAAACCCCATTATGTTAGCCCTTATCATTTCTTAGCATGGAGGCACATTTATGTGCCCATTTTTTTATATTTTTGAATATAACCAAATATTTAAATTATTCATATGCTTCCTAGTATTAGATATATGTGGGATTGATCCTTAACTTCAGTTCACTTGGAAGGCCATTTAACAAGTGCATTTGCCTTATTCAAACTGATTCACCACACAATAATGTCTATGATTGTGAAAACAGTTATGCTACTTGAATTATCCAGAATTCCTTTGATCACAGGTTATTCTTAAAGCTACTGGAGAATAACCTCAGGCAGCACTTGCAAATTCAGATATCACAGACACTTCCAAGTTTTAGTTCAAAAACACAAAGTGATTTTATAGGGTAATGCTTTATTTGAAAAATAAAGCCCTTCTTTATTTCAAAAACTGAAAGCCCTAATGCCTTTGTACTATGTATAAAAGAATTACTTTAGAAAACTTAAAATGCCTCTAATTTCCCATTTCACAGTAAATACTGCATGCAAAAAGACTCTAGCAGAGCTTCTAAACAAGTATTAAAATGACCGACTGATCAGTAATTTGCATCACTTCACAAAAAAAGATATGACAGTAAATTACTGAGTCTGTGCATGCTATAGCATAGTATGTTCAGAGTCAAAAAATAAAGTAAAATCAATTACCCTAAAAGACATTTCAAGATTCTCTCCACCCCAGATATCCATTCCTGCATCGTAAGTTCCTATCTCTTCAAAGTAGTTTCTGTCAATAGAAAATAGGCCACCAGCCATAGTAGGGGTCCTAGTTGAAAAAAACAAAAAGAAAAGAATATCTTTTGAAAACAATGTGTGGAGTTTAATGAAACTATAGCAAATATTTTTGAGACATTTTAAATTAAAAAAAAAATAGTAGTGAAAAATCTCCAACCGGAAACATAAAGCCAAGGTGTAAGAGGTTTTAAAATGAATAAATAGCATTTTATTTCACATTTTCTGTAAAACTAAATTTAGATTAGTCTATCTTTTTCTTACAGGTGATCAAATCGATACAAGGAAGGAACACTGGCCACTTAAGACAGGGGCATATACATTCTTTCTGAAAGGCATAGTGAGGAGAAGTTGGCCTTACTCTTGGCACTACCCTTAAAGAGATGAACTGGTCATGAAACTAGACATTGTGATCTTTTGTCACCAAATTATAAATTATTTTAATGTGAACTCTAGAAACCTATGGAAAGAGACTGTATGAAAGTATCTATAGTCCATTAAATATGAAAATTATTAAATGCTACAAAATGTTTATCGGTAATAAGTATCTAATGATAGTTACATGCGTATTGTAAGTGCCATGAGAGCTTTACAGCTAATTGTTTATTTTTCTCTCTACCTAATTAAAATGACAGAATTAATCATATAACCCTATGGATAAACATAAATCCTGCATACTATTCACAGGCTTAGAAGGACATTTGGCACAGATTCCAAAATTTTTTCCTGGAAATAATGCCTTTTAATTCTCATATCCCGAATTTGTCTACAGAAACTAAGAAGTTAGGTGTTAGGTTTTAAAAAGAATAATTAAATATTAATTAATTTGAAAACATTAATTAAAGTCAGTGGTCAATGTGTGAACTATGCAAGTCTTTTCTATATAAGTAGTATGAATTGAAACTAAAAAAGAAAGTTCTAGTTATCCACAAATGAATCTATACCAGTAATAATTACTTTTGAATAGAGGTTTTCCATCTTTGTAGCTTATTAGCAGCACTTGAGGCACCTTTAAAAAATATATTTCCATGCTTGGGTACCACTCTCTACAGATTTAGATTTAACTGGCCTGGAGTGGGGCCAGACCTCTGGTATTGCATAAAGTTCCCAGTTGATTGTTAATGTGCTGCTAAAGATGAAAAACACTGATCTAGTAACTTAGATTTGGAATGTTCTTCCAAGTACAGTTGACCCTTGAATAACATGGGTTTGAACTGTGCGGGTCCACTTACATGCAGATATTTTTCAGTAGCAAATAGTACAGTACCACACAATCCGGGGTTGGTTGAATCCTCTGATGTAGGGGAACCTCGGATACTGAGGGCCAAATGTAAATCTTACTCAGATGAACCCTTGCATTATTCAAGGGTAGTCTGAGATTCTTAGAAAACCAAATATTTTGTTTTTCTCAAAATTATATCCTCTTCTGCCACATGATAGCTCATGGCCTCTAATTGAACAGTGTAGTTCACTGAAAAACCACCAATAATATTGTACCTGTGTATCTACCATATTGCAAAGTTGTCTATTTCTCCCAGTGCTCTCACTGTTTTATACTCGGGTAATTAACTGTCCATCAGTTGGAGCAGCAGAGCCTCACTTGGTCTCAGAGCTGTTTCATTACTTCTCGTCTTGCTGGATTCCTGTCATGAACACTAACACTGACCTACTGAGTTATAATGAGAAACACTAACAAAGCTAAGCAGATGGCAGCTAAGCCATGACCCTCACCTGATTCGGGTTTTAGAACTCCATGGAAATAACTGTATAAGGTACTACAGTTCTGAATAGTCTATTTAATAGAATGAGGAGTAAAAATTGCTGCAATTATCCTATCATAATGCAACTGAGCACTTAAGAATGTTAAGTGATGCATTTTCAATGATCAATTCACAGTGCTTGTTCCCTTCTCTATTTACTAATAAAGAACTAATGCATTTAACTTAGACGCATATATTGAGTTTCAGTTGGTCATAATTCCTACAAATATTTGAGAAGTATATACTACGTGGTGACAATAAATTATATATTTACCATAAGAATGACTCAAATAAGTTTCACTTTTCCTTTAAAAGTAACAAAAACATTTTTAAAATTTGCAAGTTCTCAAAAAAAAAATCCTGTATTTTTCTGAAGACAGATGCTCCTAGGGAGATTTTTTTTTTTGTACTTGCAAATTGGTTAGCTCTCTCAAACAGTCCAGAGACTGTGCCTTAAGTAACATCCACAGCCACAGCCAGTGTTACATAACACGTTGTTCTAAGTGAACTGCTCTGTAATATCCCCCATGAACTATTTAGATATGCTGATGTGATTATTTTCTTTTTAAGGCTATGTCTATACAACGTTAGACCAACCAATAGACCAACCAATTCAATCAATTTTATGGGGGAAAAATAATCACCCCAATGGCTGTGATTATTACCTACCACACAGTAAGTAGGTGAAGATGAACTGAGTAAATAGACGTAAAGCACTCAGCACAGAGCCTGGCACATTATAAACAGTTAATAAAGCTGGGTAGTTCATCTTTGTTGTTGATGTTAATCATTCAAACAAAAGTCTTGAGTGTCCTTCAATTCATTTTAGCTCCCCACATACACGCTCTCACTTTGGATTTCAAAATCGTTTAAAACTACTTCAGATCCAAGATGCTGAATTCTGAAATCTGCCTCTCTGAATACAACTATCTGTTTTTGAACCCCTCCTGTTTCAATCCTATGGAAGTCACTTTTTATCCTTCATTCGTGATTATGGTCCCTTAGCTCCTCCAGATTCTCGCAGAATAACCTCCTCCAGAAACTGTCTGCTTCCCTCCTCCACTCCCTCTCCAAGGTCCTGCCATGTCAGTGAACACCTAGCTCAGCACCCTAGACTGTCTGTCCTTGCCTTTCTGACTCCATTCTCTTTTTATGCATATTACTGCCTGGGTCAACTTACCCTTCCTCATCAGCTTCTGTTCCCCAGACCCAGAGAATCACTGAAGCTGAGAGCATCTGGTCACGATACCTGTCCATGTTATTGACTCTCTGCTTAGTCCACAAACAGCTAACAATCCCTTTATCTCTGTTTATTTGTTCACCTGTCTCATTTTTAACTGAATCTTTTCCAAAAGTTTTGGACTGTTCTCAAGAAACTGATGGTTAAGGCAACGCATAAAATCTAAACTCCCTCAATCATGAAATCTAAACCCTACATTAGTATGTATATGTATCTTCTCAGGGCCTCTTCCTTCCTCTCGTCTCAGAGAAAAGAATATCCTCCTTTCTTCTCATTGTGGTATAGCATTCATTCTTTTGCCTTCGGCCTGCTCTTTTCTGACTATTAAGTATATGTTGTTTTATCGCACCTTGCTTTACTAAGCTTCACAGATATTGTGTTTTTTACAAACTGAAAGTTTGTGGTAACCCTGCGTTGACCAAGGCTATCGGCTTCATTTTTCCAGCAGCATTTGCTCACTCCGTGTCCCTGTGTCCCATTTTGGTAATTCCCACAATATTTCAAATTTTAAAATGATTATTACATTTGTTCTGCTGATTTGTGATCAGTGATCTTTGATGTTACTATTGTAACTTGGGGTGCCACGAACCACTCCCACATAGAACTGCAAACCTAATCAACAAACGTGTGGCCTGACTGCTCCACCAACCTGCTGTCCCTGTCTCTCTTCTTCTCCTTGGGCCTCTCCATTCCCTGAGACCAAGTCATAAGCCTACAATGGTCTCTACCTATTCAAGTGAAAGAAAGAGTCACACATGTCTCACTTTAAATCAAAAGCCTATTTTAAGGAATGCATTCCAGCTTTTTACCTCGGCATCAGTGGTCTGGAGCTACCCAATGAGCTCCTCCATTCCTTTGAACTATTTCTTTGTGTTTAAAGTGTTTAACTGTTACTAGTAAATGCTTCACACTTTCCCACCTTGGTATACTTGCTCACATCCATTTACCACTTGAGTTTTCCTTGGTAAACTTCCTTTACATGTTCAAATCCACTCTATTCTGAGGCCAATGCAATGGTCATATATTCCATACAGCCTGGCTTAAGTACAAATCTCCTCCCTCCAATCTGGTTGTAATCTTTCCCTTCTACCTTGTTGTACAGCACTCTGTTTCTCTTGAGGCAATTGTCACTTCTAATTGAATATTATATTTATTACTATATACATTTTATTACTTCTGTAAGAATAGTCCATATGTTAGGAATAGTCCATATCTATTAATAGTATTAGACTATTAATAGATGCTTGATAAGCATATAAGCATATATATCCCCATGGCCAAACTCAAAATTACCTGCAATTTTATTTATGAAACTACAAAAAAAATTTCTTTGCTCACATCTGTTAATCTGATAACAAAGATGCCTTCATTAGTTCCAGGATTTTTAAAGACTTTATCATCTAGTAAAGGTTTTGTGGATTGAGTTTGGTAGTGTTTTAGAATTAAAGATAGAAACTTTATAACAACAAAGAATAGTAAAGGACTCAAAAAGTAAGCGTTTACGTGGGAAAATAAGTTCTCCACCAGAACTTGATAAATCAAAAGACACTGAAAGAATACACTTGATTATTCAGTAATGCTAAACTGCCTGCATTTTCACCAATAAGACAATACACCCAGGATAACCGCCATGTGTGTGAAAAGCACGTAGGCAGTAAAGAGACTCTAAGAGGCAGCCAAATTTGAATTTTAGAAGGATTCACTAGATTGACTGGGTTCAAAACTCAACCCCACAGTGTGACCTTAGCAGGTCACCTAAACTCTGTGCCTCAAATTTAATCATCTATAAAATGGGGATATATATGTTAACATATGTAGTACTCTTAGAATAGTACCAGCATAAAGCAAGTACTGCACATTTTAAATATTAATTGTAATGAAAAAGAGAAAAACGTCTGTATATCAAGATTATAATCAGCTTTATTCTCGTCTTCAGAGTCTAATTATTTTTAATAGAATTGTAATATTTTAGAGCTTTAAAATCCCTACAGCTACGGTCACCCAAATTTAGTTGTAATGTATTTAAATGACTCG